GGGAGCTGAAAAGGAAATGAGAAGCGGAGGAGGAGAGGAGAGAGGAGAAGTGGGAACCGGCAAACAGTGGCGGCGGCAGCGACTGGTGATTGATATCAGAGATCTGGCACTGCCACCTGATCCAGCCAGCCTCTAGCAACACTGAACTCGCTGAACTTACTAAGCCAAGATGGCTGCTCCACTGCACTGCACCCAATGAACCCCACAGCAGTAATATGTACACAGTAAAGCAAATACAGTTGCTCCAGGGAGAGTGAAGAACAAAGACGGAATAAAAGGGAAGAAGTGATGGCTTTCATTTCAAATCCAAATATCCAGCGATGCAGGCATGCTCAGAGAGATGCATGAAATAAGAGAGCAAAACTCACCCAGGCATCTTCTGAGTCTCTACATCAGCAGGACTAATACTGTGATCTAAATTAGACATTTCATAGATGTGGTCAGCAACCAGATGTCAAACTGTCCACATTGAGTAGAGAAAAAAAGAAGATGCATGAGAGATATTCCTATTTTTTTTTTACTTATTCAAGATGCTTTCTAACATTCAACCAACAAAAACTGTATTTATGAGCGTTCCAAAAATGATTAGTAACGTACCAGTGGAAATTTCACTGTTATTCGCATCATAACAAAAAGTCTAAATGTATTTACGATAATCCCATGTGACTTAACCTGTAATTTAATCGATAATATGGACTCATAAACATACTCCAGTATCAGGATTTATATCTATAATGTAACATTAAATCTGAGATTTAATTAAAACATTTAATTACATTTCAAATTGCTAAAAATATGTTCATGCTGAGATGCTGTAAGCACAGAAGCTGATAAATACAGAGGCTACAAACACAGACCCATCAGGGAAAGTGTTGGTTACCAATGATTTGACCATTTTTAGGCCAACTGGTACCGACCGACGGTTGATTTTTGCCATAAAGTTAAAAATGTAATCTATTTTGATTCTCAGTGAGTGTACAAGCCCAGTCATTGCCTGCCTATGCAGTTCCACTCGATTCTCATCACCCTTCGGTGCGCTTTCTGGGTTTTCTCCCATTGAAGTTGATTTCTCCAGTAGAATTTTCCACCTGGAAATTCTACTGGAGAACGGAAGTATTTGTGAACTATGATGATTTTCTGCGCTGTTTTGTAATTTTAGCAAAGGCAGCAGTGGAAGTGAACACAGCCATTGAGTACGTGTTCCAAAATACTGAATTAGCATGAGCAGCCGCCTCGTTTGAATCGGCACTTCGCTATTATTTAGAGTACAGGTAAGCCCCGGAAAGCTTCAAGGTATCAAACTTACATTATTTCTCCAACAATACGCCACAACCAAACGTTAGCAATTTGGTAAAATTTAAAAATTCAACAGAGTTCACCTAATAGTTTCTCAATAGTCCAGGATCAATACCCTCTGCACAGAGCAAAGCAGATAACCAGGGGCTGGTTTTATAAGGCTATGAATGTACCATCCCTTAGTCTTAATAGGCTATACCAATAACACTCTTCAGTGTGTGGAGTTACTGAAAGGAAATATTTTGAAGTTACCCATTTTTAAAATCAGTAAAGTGCTCTAAGACAAAGTTAGCACAAAAGATACAAAGCCATTTAAAATGAAACTGTATTTCTACAGGCAAGGACTCCAGTCCTTCACGTGGCTAAAGAGTTAAATAAGATTTTATCTGTCACCACAAAGGCTGAAAGCAGTAACGCAAATTTGCTCTACTTTATCCTGTTGATCTTTCATAGTGTGTTTGTTGTGGGGCATGCTAAAGCTAACAATACTAATCATAAGTCCTCATCTAAGAAGCGAGAGATGGTTTAATGAGTCAACTCTGTAACCATTTTGCCCACAGTATCTTTAAGTTGGTATATCATGAGTCATAACAAAAAACTTCCAAGCGACAGATTCGCCGCTCTCAAAGAGACCAAGGCTCACTTTGCTTTGACTTTGCCGTTTCACCTCTGATCTATAACTTTACATTATAAAAGAAAACACTGGAGGACAATGAGTTGTGTCCAAGAAAAGATGATGCGGATCTCCTCATCTGTCCCCTCCCTCCCGACCATCTGCTGTGCTGACTGCTGTGTGTGCTGACGCTGGTGAAGGTAACAGTATCCACCCGGTGCAGTGGCTGAGAGAGTGACCCCTGTGGCCTCACATGGGTTGAAAGAAGGTAAACTCCTGGCAGTAGCGGAAATTAAGAAGGGCATTCTTGCTGTGAGGGGAGCGACGCATGTTTTCTCAAAAACGGACCCGTTCCAGTGTAGAATAAAATAAAACGTTTTCAAACTGCCCATTTTGCTTTCTTGCAACTATGTTTCTTTTGTGGTAAAGTTTGCAAGTGGTAGCGGGATTGCACGACGTGCATGATTTCCTTACACAAAGAGGTGATGCAGTTGATTGCACTCCACACCCTGATTCAGTGAAAGGAGGAAGGAAATCCTAGTAATGTCAGCGTGTACACAAAGGCAGGGTCATCTAAGGGCACATTATGCTGTATTTGGTGGAAAATATGATCTGTATTCGAGAGGATTCGTTTCATTCCAGAATAAGTAGAGCTGAATTAGTCATTTCAACCACTCCAATATACAGTATCTGCTCAAGGGCGTTTTCTGCTGCATCATATGGTTGGGAAGAGTTGAAAAAAAATATGCATTTTGTATTCAAGCATCGCTACATTTGGTCACCATCCGCTGTTGCATGTGTGAACGTGTGTGAAAGTGTGCCAATGTTTTGTAATGTTTGACCAGTTTTTATAACAGTTGTTGGCCAAACAAAAGCGTCATTTCTCAAAATCGGTTCCGCCATAAAACATGCAAAGCTTTCCCGTGAGAGTTTGTGTCCATAAGAAGTCTTCTTTACCCCTGAGATGTGCTTTTTATTAACTAATACATCATTTCCATTCAACACCAAACCCCTTAGCAAGAGGAAAAACAGTGTTCCAGAGAAAACAACAGATTTACTACTATTAAAAATTTTTTATGATTTTATGAGCTTTCTAATAGTTTACTAATAGCTTATCCATCTATTGCAGAGCACTACTAAATTTAGAGGGTTTTTATTTTTACAATTTTTGCTTAAGTCTTTGTATCAGAATAACAGTAAATGCATGTAGCATTAAATTACCTTTTTGAACAATAGAAAAAATCAACTTGCTTAGGAACAGTTTGACCAAATACTCTGTTCATACAGTTTATCATGCAAAAAAAGTTAATTTGGGGGTTAGCTACACTTTAAATTTTAGCAGTAATTGGAATGATTGTTGCTGTTCTGTTTTAAAATGTCTCTGTTTCTCTGCTGATCATACCAACCCATTTCTCCATGAAACAAAGAATAGAGTAATAAGAAAAAGATTCAATATTCATCTAATCTATGTAATGCGACTAACTCACATATGCAAAATGTGGTATTTTGGAGCTTGTGAACTTGAGGGACCTTATAGGCCTTTAGCTTCTTTTACTTCATGGCACTTTCTCAACCAGATACATGGTCCATAATTCAATCCTGGAGAACTTTCCATGCATGGAACATCTCTGATTTGAGTAACCATCTGCCTAATGACTAAGTCTGCAGTCTTTGCTGTATCACGACCCGGACAGTGAGTCAGCACTCTGACCCTGCGTCTCTTCCCGCACTCTGCTACAGACAAAGATTTATCATACAATGCAGACAAACATTCATATTCCTGACACAAACAGAAGTCCCTCTCCTCCTCCTCCTCTTTCGTCCCTACCTAACCTCTCCCTCACACCGACAAACACTGCCGAGTCGTGACTGAGGGCGATGCGTTCCTCTTAATATGCACAGACAACTGAGGATCCCACTGGCACGCCGGGAGACAAAAAAAGACCTCCCCCCCCACCTCACCCCGCACTGCTTGCAGACTGCGTGCTTTATCCTGGTGTGTGTGTGTGTGTTCGCGTGTCTGCGCTTTAGTCACAGAACATTCACCCTGTGAATGCACGGAGCGGTATCTTCTCCCGGTGCGCCTCCTACATTACCCAGAAACCTGTTGTCTGTTGTGTATCCATGTCACTTCCTGCTCGGCGGTTTTCTGTTGCACATTCCTAGACACCATCCCATGGTGAAGGGGAATGATGCTCATTGGCCTAAAAAATGGAAATCCCCCCCTTTTTTTTCTCCCTCCAAACACACACATTTATTCACATACCCTACAGCTGCTGCATCGATCTCTATCGGCATCAGACGCACAAGCACATACATTTGGGATCAATTTCACTAAAAAAGAAATTTCTAGTCACCGCCGCTGACCTCATGGAACTAATAACGTTTTCAGCCGTTTCTGGATCAGTTCCACCTGTTGTGACTGTCTCTGGTCTGGGAACGTCTGAGAACAGGGAAGTACTAATTCTGCCTCATGCTCTCTGACCGTTGCACTTTTTTCACTCATTTGGTTGTAAACAGGATGTGTTGTCACTACCCTTTCTACACTTTAACTGCTCCCTTGAACCCGTGTCATATGACTGTCAGTGACACTATTCAGGATACCCCCCCACACACACACACACACACACTTGCATACACACACACTTCTGAACTTAACATATTATGCTGTTGAAAAAAACACTTCAGAAGGCAGAACTAACTACATTTCACAGACATGAGTCGGCACACTGGCATGACACAACACTGCAACACCAGCAATGTCACCACAGGGATCCGTTAGATGTTACTACAGTAACTGCACGCTCACGCTTGTGCATGCCCCCAGCTTTTCCAGACATAATCTGACTGAGTAAAACAGGGATTTAGCAGGCTAGCAGCCAGTCGGGCTCAGGGCAAAGAGACACATGGCTAATGCAAACACACACCGGTGATCAGACATCCATGTGATCACTCACACTCAGTCGCGCGCACTGACATCCTCCCAGCCGGCACATGTGGACAGGCACGGCCAGGCCCCTCGGTCTAGACGAGGGGACACAGACGAGAAGTGCATCGGAGGGGAGCGGTAGAAGGCTCCAGATGTACTCACCCCTTTTCTGGAGCCATCCCTCTCTAACGATGGTGACATCGCTCATGGTTCCTTCACGCCGAGTCTGATGCCGTTACACGCCTGCTCCACACAGCCAGAGAGGGAGGGGAGGGGAGGAGAAGAGGAGAGGAGAAAGCGAGGGAGAGGAGAGGAGGAGGTGGAGGGGAGGGGGAAACGGCTCTCCCAGCCTCCGCGTCACTCTCCCTCCCTTTCTTCCTTTCCCGTTCACCCTCTATAACTCGCCCAGCCTTTCTCTCTCGCTCTCGCTCCCTCTCAGACGCAGACAAGCGCACGCACGCGAAACAAGCGCTGTGTAGGGCTGAGCGCGCGTGTCGTTTTGCTTCCTGTCGTGGCTTATCTTCCTCTCTTCTTCGTCTTCTTCTTCGTCTTCCCCTCCTCCTCCACCTCCTCGTCCTCTCACGTTCCCTCTCCAGACCTTCCTTCTTCACCAGTAGTGACTCAGCCTGAAAGGAAGTGAAAGGAGAGAGAGAAAAAAAAACATGATATAGAAAAAAGAAGCATGGCTTTATTTTGCTTCCCCTGCTACACCATCACTCCCCCCCAAAGCTCTTTCATAATATCTGACAAGACAAACAACTTGTTATTGAGAGGACGAAAGCTTCCCCCCCCCCCCCCGCCGCCCAACAATACACCCGGTTCCTCTTTCTATTGCAAACACTCCCTCTTATAAACAGGATGAAATATTGCAGAGCTCTTTCTGAAGCAAAAAAAAAAAAAAAAAACTGACCTTGATTGCCAAGTTTATATCTCTAAGCTCCACCTCTCATTCATTCAAGGATTTATTTATTTTTCCTCCCCCCCCCCCCGCATTGAACAGACACTGAATACCAAAGCGAATCCACCGCTCCTGCTTTTTAAGTAACTCCTTACATTGCAGAATGTGAGTCGGTGTGTGGATGTGGTGATTGACTCGTCTGTGTTTGAGGAGTGGGAGAGCATCTCAGGACTGTGGAGTAGAGAGCCCGGTTAAAAATAGCAACCACGGCAGTTAGGGATGTTCTCACACTCTTTCTCTCATGGCAAATCTCTGCACCTCTCTGCCGTCTCCCACCCCCGCCTCGCTCTCTCTCTTCCTCTCTCTCTCTGCATAGCGGCCATGTTCACCTCAAATGCACCCGACTTCCATGGTACGACACGACACGCAACGGTCCAGCCCAAACGGGGAGCTGCGGTTTAGTGCGACCGTCGAAGTCGTTTGAGGCTGAAAATCAGTATTCACGTCAGCTTCTGTCTGCGCCGTCTGCCGCAGACATCTGGAGGGACTGCAGCGTCAGGGCGAAGGCTGGAACACACCCCACAGACGCACACACACCCCTCTGTACATTTCTGCCTTTATTTATTTCTTTTTTTTATGTCGAGGTAGCAGAATCGTGACTGTGTGGAATCTAGGTGAACAAAAGCAGACTCGGCCAACCCGCTTTGATGCTTTCATGACCAAATTTGAACTGGATTTGAGCGATCCTTTTTCACTAATTAACATACGTTTTTTGTTCGTTTATTACAGTTAATGCAACTTCATAGAAAATTGGATGCAAGTGAACTATTTTTCAATTACATGATCTCTATAGGCAAAGTGGCTGCCGTGGGTTTTTAACCTATAAATTTATATTGTGCTTTTCAGATTCTATCTGTAAAGTCTTTTTAGAAACAAGCATGTTCACCTTACAGCTCGCCACTGTGCACAACTTTGTGTTGCTCCATCATCTAATATCTCAAGTGTGAATAGAAGGACACCACATTGCATCAAATAACTTAAATGCTATCATTAGTGCAAAACAATGGGAAAAAATGATTTTTTTTAAGTATTAAAGAAATGACTGTAGTCGCACTAGTTTTACTCTACCTGATTTTTTTTTAAAAAAGGAAAAGAATAGTAGGTTTTACGTACATTGCAAAGAAAAGATGAAAGTATTAGTAGTTTCTCTGAGCTGTAATTCCCTTGGAAATAAGCTTCAAGGGCGAATCCATTAGTGCAATCCTCTTGTCAGGTCAGAGGAGCACTCTTTGCCTCATCTTACCTCAGAAAAACTTTCCTAAAACCAATCAGTGGCCTCATACAAACTTTGGCAGACGTGATGTGCAGTAGGGAATCCATGCTCATCCTTCTAAAAGGAAAGCCAATTTGGGAGGAATGCCAATGTTACACTGCACACACAAAGATGTGTGTTTCAGCCGCATATTTTGCACCAATCTAAAGCAGGTGATGAAAGCGGCTCTAATTTGATCAACATAGCTTCCTGGAGCAGGAACAAGTCTGTTTGCGGAGGCTCGTGAAAGGTTCATCTGCACTGCCCGCCCAGTTCGCGCTACCGCTGACAGAGGACACTTGACTTATTCAAATGCTTTGTGTATGGAAGATCTAAAAAGAAAAATATAGATTTTTGTGCTTTTTTTGATCTATCACAAGAGATAACAACCAGGCTGCATTAACGTGTGGATGTAACGGCGCACAAGCTCACGTGGAAGAACACGCCGTTCTGCACACCAGTGCAGTTTTCAGGTATCAGATTTTGTGACGCTGCAAGGCTATTTTAGAATATGCTCCTGAAAACAGAACTATAGCGCTTTTGTTTGGGAGACGGAAACAACAGAGTTAAGATCTATCAAAAGGAACCAACCAGACAACACGAAAACAGAGTCGAATTATGAAATCTGTGGTCTTACACTCAGCTGAAAAATGAAGCACATTTTCAGGGAATGACGCAAAAATGCAAGACAAACCACAGTTAAATTTATCTTCCTGTTATGACAGAAAAAAAAAATAATAACGTCAAAAATCGACATAGGAGTTCTCAGTCTCTGCAGAGAGTGTTGCACACTTACACATAGAAAAATAAGGAAATCACTCCAGAGCTACATTCCCAACAATGAATAGCTAATTACTAGTGATGCACAATATTAGGGGCATGGTATGTAGATATTAACTGTAAAATTTAATATTGGACATAGGAAATTCCGTCAAAATAACTCACTGATATAAAAGGCATAATTTTTATATAACAAACCGGTGACAATAATAGCTGCGGCACAGCACAACGTCAAATTTGCACCGTTTGATTTTCTTTTATTGTCTTAGAGAGCAGATGTCATGAATAAATTTGATATTAAACATAATTCAAGTTGAAAGTGTTACATCATTCTCAGACCCTTTTTAGTATTTACATTTGGTAACAGGCTAAATTGACAAAGATAACCAGTATTTTAATACTGGTAAAGCAATATAGAGAAAGCGATATAGTTTCAGTAAGTAGGTATATTAAAAAAAAATATTAGTATTGCTATCGGTTACCAGCCAAATTAGTTTTAGGATATTTAGCATATTGGCTATATTGAATATCGACCAAAATAATCCAATAAACCAATATTGTGCATCCCTATTATTTACCCCTAACATATTGCTGAATGCCGACCTGAAAAGTAATTACGTTGAGTTGTTGAGCTGAGGGGAACAAGAATGACTGAGACAACATGACTTCCAAGCTGACATCAAAAAGCCAGGCCCTTACATGGAATTATCCATCATAAAACAATCTTAAGATTTGGTCGCAAACTGCAGTCGTCCAGCAACCAGAAGCAAATTTATTTATCTCAAAAACAGAAACGACCTATGTCAAACATCAAGCAGTGGCAGAAAATCCAATTGCTGCTTTGGCTCAAATCATATTATTGCCGTTCTGGTTTTGCCAACCTCGAGCTCCTTCCCCAGCCATGTCCTTTTCCTTATCATTTTCTCCCTCTTTTCACAGATTGACTCCAACAGCAGGACCGCAACTTGTTGTCCAACCGTTGTTGGACTGACTTCTCTGTTGGACTGTTCTGACGGGAGTAACTGTCAAGATTGCATCACGACCAAATTCACATATGTGGCCACGTTCAAGTCCTCTACAAGTTTTGAAAAAACAAAACAAAAACAAAAATCACATAATGTATGCAGAAAAGGCTACAGCATGATGCCGTGGATGCCATAAATTGCATCACTTTGTGGATATTGTGTTCAGGGTGATGAGCAGGGTAAGTGGGTTTGTTTATTTCAGCACAGTGTTTAGCCCAAATAGTTCAATTTTTGTGTTATGTGGATGACTAACAGATACAATGTGGACAGAATCACTTAGCTTAGATTTTATGCAAGGGACAATATATTAATCCACATATCTTGCTGTCCAATCACTGTTAGATTGATGTCTCTGTCTGACCTGTGCAGCACCATAATCAAGGAATCTGCCATCTCCAATTGCAGTGACAGGTCAGGTCGTTCTGAAAGACTTATTAGTGTTAAAGTGTCTCACAATCACATTTAAAGCTCACTTCTCTCTACAACAGACGGCTAAAAGCTTGAAAATATTTCCTCCAGGAGTTTTGAAGGGGGGGCACCACGTGCCAGCACATTGCACATAATCAACAACTCAAGATTAAATGGAAAAAAATGCAGACAGACAGTTATTTATGTACTGAGCTTAAATGGAAAACTCAACCCGTTTGTGGGCGTTTTCATCAGCAAAAGTTAGCAACGCAGACCTCTAAAGCATCAGTCACAGTGGTCCGACAACTCGGAGCCGCCTCCGCATGTTATCCTGACATAAACACACCATCCATCCCGCTCTCCGTGTCATGTTTACCGTTACAACAGCGTCCGGCCAGCAGCGGCGTCATCACCTGCAGCAGCAGCAACAGCAGCGACAGGTGCTGTGGCAGTGTGTCCCCCTACCTCCCTGCACCTGCTCTTCTTCACACACCGCTTCTATTCCTGCCTTTAACTCCGGCCTGAGCGAAACTATGCGAGCTAAGCTAAACGGCGGTCTCCGTCAGAGTCATCAAACGGATTTCCGACAAAACTGCGGTGGTGTGTGAGGGGGTTGGAGGGGGGTGAAGCTGCCGTTACCGCGGCCAACGGTTGTTTTGATTCTCAGGAAATTCAGAAACGTCACAGAGGGAAGCGGCACCCCCTATCTGTCGTGAACCCGCCCACTGCCTCCACATGAACACGCACACAACAAATTCAGACACGAACGCCGGTTCCCCCAACCGTCCAGCACAGACCTTCCGCTTTCGGTGACGAGGAATTCTACTCGATGTCTGACTCTCCACCACTGAGCGGTTCTCTCATCATCCCTCTCCAACATCCAGTGGGGATCCTCGGGTTCGCAAGCCAACTATCGCGAGAACTCGGAGTTAAGGCCGTTTACGTGCGAGAAGTAAAAGTGGCTGCTCTGTCCCAGTTTGAACATTTACCTGGAGAGAGAGAAAGATACGCATGAAGTCGTTTTTATGGGAGAACGTGTTAAAGTTTAACATTAAACAATTGTTTCAAGCTCATTGCGTGTTTCATCATTTGAAAATAGACGTGTATCCAAAGGGAAAGTTTTAACTCTTGGTTCCGTTTTCTACCAAGATGTCCTGTCACAAAATAGTAATAATAAAAACACAAGAAAAATGCGGAACAAACAAATGAAAAAAATATATCTAATTTTATTGCTGTTGTATAATGTCAAATATTTGAATTAAGCTTAGGCATTTATCTTTGCAGAGCAGCAGAAATGTCAATTTTGTCTGATTTTCTTACCATTTTTATTACAATGAAAACTCCCAATATTTTTAATAATATAAAAATATATATAAAGTGCATAACACGTGGAATTCTAATCACATCATGTTTGATAAATTTACATATTTTTGAAAAATGCATTTATTTCAGTAACTCAAATTACAAAATTGAATCATATAAATTAATTACTCACAAACTGTTTTTAAGCCCTTATTTCTGTAAAGTATATTAATTTTTCCGATTACAAAATGTAAAGCTTACATTTTAGTTGAATACATTATATCACACCATTTTAAAAAACACACACATTTAGTATATAGCTAAATGAAAAGCCTAATGCGAAAAAGTTATTTTAAAGATACTGTTAATGACAAGCCTCATTTGTATATATAAAATGCATATTTTATATATGTGACTTTATTGTATAGATGTTTAAGACATCATTCAGAGATCCCAATTTTAGGTATAATTAGCAGCTTATCAAAGTTAAAATTAAAGTTTTTAAGCAGTATATCAACTGATAACAGAAGGTGGATAATTTTTTCACATCCTGTTCAATATGCCCTTCAACATTTTGTAAATATCCAGTTTTGCTTTGGTGTTGCAATGTTTTAATTTGATCTAAAATGGAAACTAATTTTCAGTTCTTAAATATTTCTTCTTTTTTTTGTCAAACCTAAATGCTTCTAATTATCAGAAAAAGTCATCATTAGACAATATCCTGAATATACACAAAGTGAAGTTTTTAAATTTTGATTTATGTAACATTTTTGCTCATGTAATATTTTCCCAAAACCTTCAGCAATCATCAAGATGCATCAGCTCTCGGTGTGGCTTTCTGGAATCTCCAAGCATTGAAAATGTTGTTTTAATTGACAACGACATAACAGATGTCAATAATTTTATCTTTCATTTGTTCTTAAATTTCTTCAGCTCAGAGCATGATGTGTTGCTTTTTAAGACTTTTCAACCTACATCATGTTGCCAGGTAGGTTCCGTTTTTGTGGTTTTAAGATTGTACAAGTCAGGCTGTAATCAGCAAAATTAAACAACATAAAAATGGCGCTTAAACACGGTTAGTTCCTGATTCCAGGAGGGCCGCATTACTATTCAAATAGGGAGAGGCTGTTTGCATTGATAATGAAGTTATCTTTTAAAACGGCATTATGGATTTGGTCAGGGTTTCTTTGTCTCAGAATAAACCTTGTTTGACCGTCTGAAACATTTGAGTGTCACAAAATGAAGCAAAAACCAGAGGGATTCTGTATTGAAGCAAAGTTTCCTACAGGACTATAAGAAAATGAGGGGTCAAACAAAGTTGTTAGAGAATCAAATTTTATGTTGGATCATCAGGAAGTTGATCAAAACTTGTTGTTTCTTCTGGAACAAGTAGTATGAAAGAGGTTATTTTTAATATCAAAGGTGTGTTTTGACAGAAAATCATGCAGAATTTAAGAGGAACTATGGCCCAACTAAATTAAAGCAGCAGAAGAATTTTTTTTCATTATATAGGGAAATAACAGATTCCGTAACACACCACTAAATTAAGGAAACAAACGACACAGCACGAACGAGAAATTTTTAACATCAAAACAGAAGACAGACTTCAAAAGTTTCCTGCTGAATGTTGGTTCCCTTTCCAGGCAAAAAATACATAAAATCTCATTAATCTGTTGCAGAAAAGTCAAAAGGATGACTCTGTTGACTCCTCTTCAGGTCAATATTACATTATTTACTCAGATATGATGACACAAAATTACAGAGTCTTTGCGATCACAGGTAATATGTATAATTCATGCAAGATTGAAGAGAAGGGGTGCAGTGGTGGCACAGGGGTAAATGCTAAATAATGCATTTTGACCAATATGTTACCTACTTCAGATGAGATATTGGCCACTTATTACTCTTCAGCAAAACCTTACTAAATAATGAAATAAATAATCCAGAGGTTTCCATTTCAGGTAGCTATTAGACTACAGTCTTAAAACTGAGATCGGAGTTGGAAGCATGAAATAAAAATACCGCAACATGGGGCGTGCTGTGGTGGAGCAACACTTAGCACGCCTCACGCTTGGAGGCCTCAACCTGCCGCGGACGTCGCGGGTTTGACGACTCCCGGTGCCGGCGACCTTTGCCACATGTCTTGCCCTCTTTCCTGTCTGCCAACTGTCAAAAATACGAGCCACCAGTGCGCAAAAACTCTTCGGAGAGGAAAAAAAACAAACAAAAAAATACCGCAACAGACTTGTTAAAAATATAGCTGTGCATAAAAATAGCCAAGGAACCTTGCAAAGGTGGGAAGTATTTTCCATAAAATCACATTAAAGAACAAAAAAATGATAAGTACTGATCATAAAATCTGCTCAAGATTGAGCACTAGGTATCTTTCTTTTCTTTTTTTTTATTATATCTACTATATTTATGAAAGACAAAGTAATATGCTTGTGCGGAGGTTGTTTCAGCTTTGTATTCTCACACACATGTTCCACTCTCTTATAACATGTTTAAGAATGAGACGGCTCCATGGCGCAGGTCTCCACGCAACAGCTGATCAGCTGAAAGCACACCAAACATTTTGTGCCCATTTAAGGCTCAGGTTGTTTAGAAGCTGCATTTCTTGAATTCTTGTCCAACGCAGCTCTTTCCAACGTGGTCAGTTGTCCTGCTGTGGTCCTCTAGGACTCCTCCAGACAACAGTCAGCATGGGTACAGAAAGAAAGAATTACAGAAAACTGAACAAATATTATTAGAACTTTCTTCCTGCTTCGCATGAGCAAATACAGGGAAAGATTGAAATTTCTTGACATCATGGCACACACCGCCCCCCTTCACCTGACTGCTCCTGCCCATGGACTGGGCAGCTGGGCGGCAGAGACAGAGGATGTAGTCATGGGGCAAGGCACATAGAGGGGACACAGGTGGACCTAAAGTCACACACCATATGTGCGTACCATGTTCTGGCCTCTCTTACACACACACACACACACACACACACACACGCACACACACACTCACGTTGGGCCATCAGCTGGCTTTTTACTCGCAACTCTGCAAAAGGGAGGCGGATGGGCAGAAACCAGCAGCAGGGAAAGGTGTGCGCGTGCATTTGTGTGTGTGCCCTTGTTTACATTACATATGGTTTGCAGTTCTACTGCGCTCTCCTGGTTAGATTTAGAGGTATTATGTGAATTAAATGTTGGATAGTAGGGTTAGGAATAGATTAGGTAGGGTTAGGGCTAGCCAAAATGTATGGATGGAAGTCAGTGCAATGTCTTCAGTTTATATATAAGTACAAGGATGTGTGTGTGTGTTGTGGAGAGAAGGCAGTGGAAGTAAAAGTAAAAAAACAGCTTGAAATGCAAAAAGACCACACAGGGGATCCCTTCTGTTGCTGTAGCTGTGACCAGAAGTGTCCCTGTGACACACTTCCACATGAAAAAAAAATGTCAAAAGTTTGTGTAAATGTGCGCTAACATTCCAAATTTTATTTTATAGAGCCCTTTAAAAAGCGCGACACTGCTATGCAAAAGTGTTTTTAAGCCACTTGAATTGGTCCTCAATTTTGTACATTTTGAGATTTTATGTAATAAACCAAAAAAGTATCACCTAACTCTAAAATTAAATTAAAAATCAGAAAAATGTGACATCCACTGTAAATAAAAAATTACCTAATTAAAGTCAACCCCATAAAACAGATATTTGAAATATGTAACGCTCTTTCTAACGAACCGACATATATATGAATTTCAACATTGGAATTCAATTACTCTAAGTAAGACCACAACGGATTCATGTTTAGAGTCGCCCAGTCTCACATTTTTTGACATTTCTAACAAGTTTACGCTCAAGATTGCAAGTCGTTTCATCCATCTTCCTTAAAGGCCCTGTGATCCAAAACACCGATGCAATCCAGTGAGGTTTGCAGTTGTAGGATGACAAAATGTGAAAAAAGGTCAAGGAGTCTGTACACTTTCTCAATCAATCAATCAATCAATCAATCAATCAATCAATCAATCAATCAATCAAATCAATCAAGACACAGTATACAAAGTGAGGTAAAAAGACGCCCCGTTTCACACCCTTTCCAATATTGTAAATCTAGGGACTGTGTATTAGCTGTGATTGTGAGCAGCACTCCGGACTGTATCGGTTCTGGCCTCCCTTGAGTCGTCATTACAAGCACTCCTCGCAGTGGAAGAGTGAATCTGTCCAGTCAATTACATCAACTGCAGAGACACATGAAGGTTGGATCCTCTTGGTACGTTTTGCTCAACAGTGCGTGATCTTGCAATGTAAGAGCAACACATGGTGAATGTTTGTGATCTTCATGCCTTTTTTTTTGCCTCTCAATTGTGCAAAAGATTCTTAAATGTCTAGAAAAGTAAAATTAATACTTTTGTCATACGACAAATATTGTGGGAAAAAAAGCTGTATTGTGTTTCTGGGGTTAAATGGAAAATACCCTTAACGGGTTT